TAGGCTTCTTCGTCTCATGACCTTAAGCACTGTGTATAAATTTAAAGTCAATCGGATATTAACTTTGGCCTCTAGAGCGTCCACAAGATTTTTTGAAAGGATCAAGGGCCATAACTCTGGCAGTAATTATCGAAAATCACTGAAAATGAATAGAATTTTTCGTCTCATGACCTTAAACACTGTGTATAAATTTAAAGTCAATCGGATATTGACTTTAGCCTCTAGAGCTTCCACAAGATTTTTCAAAGTGATCAAGGGCCATAACTCTGGCAGTAATTATTTGAAATCGCTGAAAATCAATAGGATTCTTCGTCTCATGACCTTAAACACTGTGTATAAATTTAAAGTCAATCGGATATTAACATTGGCCTTTAGAGCGTCCACAAGATTTTTTGAAGTGATCAAGGGCCATAACTCTGGCAGTAATTATTGAAAATCGCTAAAAATGAATAGACTTCTTTGTCTCATGACCTTAAACGCTGTGTATAAATTTAAAGTCAATCGGATATTAACTTTAGCTTCTAGAGCGTCCACAAGATTTTTCAAAGTGATCAAGGGCCATAACTCTGGCAGTAATTATCTGAAATCGCTGAAAATCAATAGGCTTCGTCTCATGACCTTAAACACTGTGTATAAATTTAAAGTCAATCGGATATTAACTTGGTAGAGCGTCCACAAGATTTTTTTAAGTGATCAAGGGCCATAACTCTGGCAGTAATTATCTGAAATCACTGAAAATCAATAGGCTTTTTCGTCTCATGACCTTAGACACTGTGTATAAATTTAAAGTCAATCGGATATTAACTTTGGCCTGTAGAACGTCCACAAGATTTTTTGAAGTGATCAAGGGCCATAACTCTGGCAGTAATTATCAGAAATTGTTGAAAATCAATAGGCTTCTTCGTCTCACGACATTAAACGCTGTGTATAAATTTGTAGTCAATCGAATATAAACTTTAGCATCTAGAGCGTCCACAAGATATTACAAAGTGATAAAGGGCCATAACTCTGGCAGTATAAACAAGCCAACAGTGAGGCTGATGTCCCCCACCGAAATCCCAAAATAAATAGATGACACATATTACTTAATCGCACATTTATTTTTTTTTTCAAAAGTATCAAGCAATCAAACTATACACTAAGTTTCATCACTCTTTATCAGATAGAATCAAGATTATCTTGTCCCAAAGTATCGACCGATGAAATCTATTAGCTCTGCTTAGCTTCAGCTCGAAATGTTAATCATTGAACTCAGTCAAGACATTCACCTAATGAACATCTACATCAAGTCTAAACATTCTACCTCAATTAAAGATAGGTTGCCAGGCAACGAAACATACGCCCACAGTAGCTATATCGTCCGGGCAGTCAACAAGAGTTGTCGCATATTTTTAATTTTTTCGGTAATGAAACATTTATAATACATTAAAATCTGATTAAGAGTAACAACTCATTAAGTAATTATCAGAAAACCATTAGAATTTGTTTGGTTTTTATAAAGTTCTGTCCCATGCTAATGTTTAGTATACAAAACTTTTAACATCATGGATTTAGCTGTTCAAGTCATAAAGATTCATTGAAAATCAATATACTTGTTCGTCTCAAGACCTTAAACTTTGTGTACCAATCTGAAGTCAATCGGATGATAACTTTAGCCTCTAAAGCGTCCACAAGATTTTTCAAAGTGATCAAGGGCCATAACTCTGGCAGTAATTATCGGAAATCGCTGAAAATAAATAGGATTCTTTGTCTCATGACCTTAAACACTGTGCATAAATTTAAAGTCAATCAGATATTAACTTTAGCCTCTAGAGCATCCACAAGATTTTTCAAAGTGATCAAGGGCCATAACTCTGGCAGTATTTAATGGAAATCACTGGAATACAATTGGCTTCTTCATCTCATGACCTTAAACACTGTGTATAAATTTTAAGTCAATTGGATATTAACTTTGACCTCTAGAGCGTCCACAAGAATTTTTGAAGTGATCAAGGCCCATAATTCTGGCAGTAATTATCGGAAATCGGTGAAATTCAATAGGCTTTTTTGTCTCATGTCCTTAAACACTGTGTATAAATTTGAAGTCAATCGGAAATTAACTTTGACCTCTAGAGTGTCCACAAGATTTTTTGAAGTCATCAAGGGCTATAACTCTGGCAGTAATTATCGGAAATTGCTGAAAATCAATAGGCTTCTTCGTCTCATGACCTTAAACACTGTATAAAAATTTAAAGTCAATCGGATGTTAACTTTAGCCTCTAGAGCTAAATTGCTTGTGGATCCCGGACCAACGGACGGACCGACCAACGGAAGGACGGGGGCGACGACAATATACGACCACATTTCAATGTGGGCGTATAAAAACAGCGTTGTTATGTTCCAAAGTCTTGACCAATCAAATTGCTTATCGCTCATTAGCCTAAGCAGAAAATTATCACCATCGAAATTAGTCAAGGTAATGATATAATGAAACTATATTCAGAGTTCCATCGCTCTCACTTCATTATAACCAAAGTTATCATGCCTCAAAGCATCAACCAATCAGATTGCTTATTGTGTTCCAAAGTCTCTACCAATCAAATTGCTTATCGCTCTGCTTACCCTGAGCAGAAAATGCTCATTATCAACCTTAGTCAAGGTATTGATGTTATAAAGCTATACATCAAGTGTCCTCACTCTCACTTAATTAGAACTAAAGATATTGTGTCTCATGAATATCAACCAATCAAATTGCTTATTTCTGCTTACCCCAAGCAGAAAATGTTCATCTTTGAACTCCTTCAAGGCATTGACCTAATAAACACCTACACCAAGTTTGAAGATTCTAGCTCAATTAGAAGGAGAGTTATTGTGTTCCAAGGTCTCGACCAATCAAATTGCTTATCACTCTGCTTACCCTGAGCAGAAAATGCTCATTATTGAACTTAGCCAAGGTATTGATGTAATGAAACTATACACCAAGTTTCATCACTCTCACTTAATTAGAACTAAAGTTATCGTGTCCCAAAGCATTAACCAATCAAATTGCTTATCTCTGCTTACCCTAAGCCGAAAATGCTCATCTTCGAACTTCATCAGGGCATTGACCTAATAAACACCTACACCAATTAGAAAGAGAAGTATTGTGTCCCAAAAAGTGTGACGGACAGACGGACGAACCCATTTTAATAGTCCTCTGCTTTCTTCGAAAGGTGGGGGACAAAAAACAATAAGCTTTCATATGAAATCTTAATCATTAAGATACATGTAGGTTGAAAAGCAACAAAACATACGTCCACGGAAGCTAAATCGCCCAGCGGTCAGCAAGGGTTGTGGCATTTTTATTCGCTTGTGGGTAATTGGGGGTTATTTACAAGACAATTTCATACAGATCAGGGACAAGGGACGTAACTGTAGAAATAATGGTTGGAAATTGCTATTTTTCAATAGACCTCCGTTTCACAAATTTAAATGATGCCTATAAATTTCATACATATCGGATCATAACTTTTGTCGTTAGAGCGTTCACAAGGTGCAACAAAGTGTAACAAGGGCCATAATTCTTGATATAATAAATGGAAATTATTGAAATTAAATAGGCTTCTTCATTTCACTAATGTAAACAACATATATCAATTTAAAAAACAATCGGATGATAACTTTTGGCGTTCACAAGAAAATTTTTTGTACTTTTCATAAACATTATTCAGAACACGATATGCTACATAACATAAGAACTATTTCTAGTTTTAGTCCATTACAGATACATGTATATATATATTTTGAAAATACAGTAAATACAAGTCATACTGTGTCTACAAGGTAACAATTGGTTGTTAAAGTGGTTCATATTTTAGCCATTGGTTTCTTTTGATGGCACGTGTAAATTCACAAAATGAATTGCAAGATTCCAAGAGATTATCGTACTGCAACAGGTACATGTATTCAGGAAAGTTGTTAGAAGTTTATTAAAATGTGGGGGTATAAAAATAATTAGAAGGCTACATTAAAGATACACTAGTTAAGAGTTTAATAAAGAGTTGGCCATTCTTGCTATAATAATTCAAAAATAGATGATAAAAAAAGAAAATATTGAAAATTTCAGTCAAATTACTTTATTCTGAACAGAGTTTTCAATGTTGAAGTTTTCACTAGAAATAGGCATCAACTGCGTCTACACCGTCTACGAGAATTGTCGATCGTTTGATTAACAGACGATAACTCCACCCACATATTCTTGATTATCAAGTAACGTTCTCAATAGCAATAGTACTCTCGCTTGACGGACCTTTCATCACCAGTTTCCGGTAGCGACGTCACCAAGTAACGGTAAACGTTAGCTTGGACAGCCATTTACTGATTTAATTTTAAATGGACGACTGTTTAAATCCGAACTGTATCCAAGCCATCCGAGGGTCTACAGAGTTGATTTCGAGCTTGTCATGTAAATAAAGGTCTAATTAATAATTTCTATAACATCTGAAGCCTAAATAAAGACTTACAATATGCTGATTTAGCTCTTGCATAATGCATGTTTAATTCATTTGTGATTAAAGAAGATATATTACTTGGGATGTGATTTACCGATGTATTTGTCAATGTTGGAATTACTATTTTTAATGGATAATAATACTACAACCACAACAAGAAAATAATCTATGGGCATATAACAAAATGAGAACGGATAGACGGACATACAGACAGGAGCGAAGACCATATATGTCCACATGAAAATGTGGGCGTATATAAACAGTAGCCTCTATCGTTGTCTGCGATATCACTTATGTGGAAGCAGACATTAAACACCAAGAACTACTACTACTACTACCACATCAACAAGCCAGTTGTTGACAGCTGGAGTGACAAAAGGACATGGTAACAGACATGGTTAACAACATAATATGCCCACAATGAGATATAGGAGTATAAAAATTATGTTTAAGTATTTCAAGTCCAATTACTAAATGCCATTAAAACAATTGGTGGTTATGTTATATAATGTTATATACATGTAAACTTACCCCAACAATATATTTTCTATTATGTAAATATAAATTTAAATGATTAAGAATAGGTTGGAGAACACTTTCAGGGTGTTTACCATTTTTAGTATTCAGTTCTACCATACCAAAAAGAACAGACAATACACACGGCTGTAAATAAAAGTAATTAATATACATACATATGGAAATTAATTGAGCAACACCCATAACATAAACAAGATTACCATGACATAGAGAGTCAGATTGATGTTCCAGGGACTGGTCCCCAGGGCAATTTACCAACTAATGAAGACAAATTTGCAAATTAGTGGGATGGCTGAAGCCATGATATCTATAATGGTAAAATGGAATGTTGCCATTCTTTCGTTTGAGGATTTTGGGGGTCACACGGGATATGTTCTTCGTCTCATAGCCATAAACACCAAGTCTAGAGCATCAACAAGATTTATATAATTGATCAAGGGCTATAACTCTTGATTTTTTCTACATTCAAGTGGCATAATTCAGGAAGACACAATCCAATACACGCGAATATCGAAAGGAACCAAGATCTTTGGGATATCAACATGCATTCCAAGTTTCATCTAAATCGGATGAAAATTGTGACCTCTAGAGTGTCTAGAGTTTACATTTGCGTACAAGAGGCGACCATTTTGCCCGGCAGTTTTGGTCCAATTTCCTTGAAATACGAACTCAACCGACATTAGGGTGTAACGGTGATATACTAAAACATATTTTTAAAGCGAATAAAAATTGTGAACCCTAGAGGGACCACAAGCTAAAAGCGTGATTTTTCGTACAATCAGGGGCCATAATTCAGTAAGTTACGATCCAATATGCGCGAATATCAAAAAGAACCAAGATTTTTGGGATATAACCATGCATTCAAAGTTTCATCAAAATCGGATGAAAATTGTGACCTCTAGAGGGTCCACAACCTTGATATACCATATTTTACAAGGGGCAGCTATTTTGTCCGGCAGTTTTGGTCCGATTTTCACGAAATTTGAACTCAACCTGCCTTAGGGTGTAACGGTGATATATTCAAATGTTTTTTTAAATCGGATAAAAATTATGATTGCTATAGGGTCTACAACCTAAAAACACGATTTTTCGTACAATCGAGGCGATAATTCAGGAAGTTACAATCCGATATGCGCGAATATAGAAAAGAACGGAGATCATTGGGTTATAAACTTACATTTCAAGTTTCATCAAAATCGGATAAAAATTGTGATCTTCATAGGGTCCACAACCTTGATATAACATATTTTTACACTATTTGAGAACGAACAGCGGCCATTTTTTCTGTCAGTTTTGGGCCGATTTTCACGAAATTCATACTCAGCCGTCCTTAGGGTGTAACCATGATAAACTAAAACGTTTTTTTAAATCGGATAAAAATTATGACCTCTATAGGGTGCACAAGCTAAAAATGAGATTTTTTGAAGTGATCAAGGGCCATAACTCTGGCAGTAATTATCGGAAATCGCTGAAAATCAATAGGCTTTTTGTCTCATGACCTTAAACACAGTGTATAAATTTGAAGTCAATCGGATATTAACTTTGGCCTCTAGAGCGTCCACAAGATATTTTGAAGTGATCAAGGGCCATAACTCTGGCAGTAATTATCAGAAATTGCTGAAAATCAATAGGATTCTTCGTCTCATGACCTTAAACACTGTGTATATATTTAAAGTCAATCGGATATTAACTTTGGCCTCTAGAGCATCCACAAGATTTTTTGAAGTGATCAAGGGCCATAACTCTGGCAGTAATTATCGGAAATCGCTGAAAATCAATAGGCTTCTTCGTCTCATGACCTTTAACACAGTGTATAAATTTAAAGTCAATCGGATATTGACTTTAGCCTCTAGAGCTTCCACAAGATTTTTCAAAGTGATCAAGGGCCGTAACTCTGGCAGTAATTATCAGAAATCGCTGAAAATCAATAGGATTCTTCGTCTCATGACCTTAAACACTGTGTATAATCGGATATTAACTTTAGCCTCTAGAGCGTCCACAAGCAATTGTGGACGCCGGACCGACGTACGGATGGACGGACGGGGGCGACGACAATATATGATCACATTTCAATGTGGGCGTATAAAAACAGAGTTGTTATGTTCCAAAGTCTTGACCAATCAAATTGCTTATCGCTCTTTAGCCTAGTCATGGTAATGATGTAATGAATCTATACTCGGAGTTTCATCACTATCACTTAATTATAACTAAAGTTATCGTGCCCCAAAGCATCAACCAATCAGACTGCTTATCTCTGCTTACCGTAAGCAGACAATGTTTATCATCAAACTAGATCAAGGGATTCACCTAATGAAAGCCTACACCAAGTTTGAACATTCTACCTCAATTAGAAGGAGAGTTATTGTGTTCCAAAGTGTCGAACAATTAAACTGCTTATCGCTCTGCTTACCCTGAGCAGAAAGTCCTTACTCTCACTTAATTAGAACTAAAGTTATTGTGTCCCAAAGCATCAACTAATCAAATTACTTATCTCTGCTTACCCTGAGCAGAAAATTCTCATCTTCGAACTCCATCAAGCATTCATCTAATAAACACCTACGCCAAGTGTGAACATTCTAGCTCAATTAGATTTAGAATGAGAGTTATTGTGTTCCAAATTCTTGACCAATCAAATTGCTTATCGCTCTGCTTACCCTGAGCAGAAAATGCTCATTATTGAACTTAGTCAAGATACTGATGTAATGAAACTATACACCAAATTTCATCACTATCGGAGAGACAGACAGACGGACGAACCCATTTTAATAGTGTCCTGCTTTCTTCGAAAGGCGAGAGACAATAATTGGAAAGTAGTCATACATATAGAAAGTCAGGGACCTTACCAATAGTTGTGAACTTTCCCATTCTAACCATTCATCTATTTCCATGCTGTTACTTTCTATTCCAGTTGATGTTAATAATAACCTGTATCAAAAATAAAATGCCATCCAAAATAAATAGATGACACATTAATTGCACATTTATCTTTTTGAAAAGTATCGAGTCCAGCCTCCATCTTATACTCAGTAGAGTATAAAATAAAAAAAAAAGGTTGCCAAGCAATAAAACATATGCCCACAGCAGCTAAATTGTTCGAGCAGTCAACAAGGGTTGTCGCATATTTAATCTTTTATACTATAGGTAATGAGAGGCTTTTACAAATCGGATTATAATTTTTGTCCTTTGAGGGTTCAAAAGGTGCTACAAACTCAAACAAAGGCTATAACTATAACTCTTGATGTAATATACAACTAGAACTGTGACGCAGTAATGACGGGTTTCACCGGTGCCCCGTTACCCTTGAACATATGTCACTTCCGTTACCGATGAAACCATTAAACAGCTTTCCATATAACCATTGCACACATCAAATAAAATGTACGCAGAATCAACCAAATCCAGCAATATCAATTCATTGTATACATTTGTTACATGTAAGTGATCCTGACAAAATTACATTACTTCTGGTGATAATGAAAATGTTCAATTAGTTTTATGAAATCAGAAATGGCATAAGGCATCACATGGTGAAAATTTTATGTAAATCGAATAATAATTGCCACTTTTATAGACCAAAAACCTTGAAAAGTGACTTGTAGAAAATTGTCTATTTTTATGCAACCGCACAAGTTAGAAACCATTTTTGGGTATCTGTATGATCATATGGGTTCGATCTATTTGTTGATTGGAATCAAATATCATAATTTTAAAAACATTACAAATCAGACTCATTTGAATAAAATATCTGTTTTAAAGGCTAAAAATACAGTTTTTGACAAACTGACGTTACTTCCATTGATAATGAAAATTTTAAATTACTTGAATGAAATCGTAAATGGCATAAAGTTTCACACACTGAAAATATTATGAAAATCGAATAATAATTGACACTTTTATGGACCAAAAACCTAGAAAAGTTACCTGTTGAAAATCATCTATTTCTCTGCAACAGAACAAGTTAGAAACCATTTTGTGATATCTATATGATCGCATGGGTTCGTTCTATTAGGTGATTGGAATCAAATATTAAAATTTAAAAAAAATAACAAACATGACTCATTTGAATAAATTATTTGTTTCGAAGGCTATAAATACAGTTTTTGCCCAAATTACGTCATTTCTGGTGACATTGAAAATGTTAAATTGGTTTGACCTAGTTAAAATTGACATTACGCAACAAATGGTGTCACTTTTATGAAAATCCAATAATAATTGACTCTTTTACAAGCAAACTAGCGTAAATAGTGACTCGTGCAAAATTGCCCATTTCTCGTCAACTGCTCATATTACAAACTAATTTTCACATACATTCTCTTTGTATGGATTATTGCTACAAGTTTATGAAAGTTGCGAAGAAATATTTTAAAATATGAAAAGCCTGAATGGGTTGTTTATAGCTCATTTTTTCACCTTTTTTCACCTTTAAATCGAAATGACCCGAAAATGAAATTAAAAAAACTGAGCCCGATGTTTTCTCCGCAACTAAACAAGGTAAAAACCATTTTGTGATATGTATATGATCGAATGGGTTCATTCTATTAGTTGATTGGAATCAAATATCAAAATTTTAAACAAATAACAAATACGACTCATTTGAATAAATTACTGATTTTGAAGGCTATAAATACAATTTTTGCCCAAATTATGTCATTTCCGGTGACATTGAAAATGGTAAATTGGTTTGACCTAGTTAAAATTGACATTACGCATCAAATGGTGTCACTTTTATGAAAATCCAATAATAATTGACTCTTTTACAGGCAAACTTGCGTAAAAAGTGACTTATGCAAAATTGCCCATTTCTCGGCAACTGCTCATATTACAAACTAATTTTCACATACATTCTTTTCGTATGGATTATTATGAAAGTTGCGAAGAATATTTTAAAATATGAAAAGCCTGAATGGGTTGTGAATAGCTCAGATTAGATTATAAATTTTGTAGTTTGAGGGTTTACAAGGTTCTACAAACTGAAACAAGGGTTTCAACTCTGGAAGTAATCTACAGAAACTTTTTCGTTTTACTAATTTCAATAATGCATATAAATTTCATACAGAACACATGATCACTTTTGTCATTCAAACGATCACAATTGCCATAAATCTAGAAATTATTGACAGAAATTGCCGAAATTCAATAGACCTGTTTCACAAATTTAAATGATGCATATAAATTTCATACATATCGGATGATAACTATCATCAATCGAGCATTAACAAGGTTTAACAAAGTGAAACAAGGGCAATAACTCTAGAAGTAATTATTGTAAATTGCTGAAATTCAATAGACTTTTTCGTTTCACTAATCTAAATCATGCATATAAATTTAACAAAGATCGGGTGATAACTTTTTGCGTTAGAGCGTTCACAAGGGTCAATAAAGTGAAACAAGGGCCATAACTCTAGATTGTAATAAACGGAAATTGCTGAAATTCAATAGGATTCTTCGTTTCAGTAATCTAAATAATGCATATAAATTTCAGAAAGATCGGATGATAACTTTTGGCGTTAGAGCGTTCACAAGGTTCAATAAAGTGAAACAAGGGTCATAACTCTTAGACATAATAACCGGAAATTGCTGAAATTCAATAGGCTTCTTTGTTTTACTAATTTAAATAATGCATGTAAATGTCAGACAGATCGGATGATAACTTTTGGAGTTAGAGCATTCACAAGGTTCAATAAAGTAAAACAAGGGCCATAACTCTAGACGTAATAAACAGAAATTGTTGAAATTCAATAGGCTTCTTCGTTTCACTAATTTTAAATATTGCATATAAATTTCACAAAGATCGTATGTTAACTTTTGGCATTAGAGCCTTTACAAGGGCCATAACTCTAGACGTAATAAATGGAAATTATTGAAATTAAATAGGCTTCTTCATCTCACAAATGTAAACAACATATATCAATTTTAAAACAATTGGATGATAACTTTTGGCGTTAGAGCGTTCACAAGAAATTGTGGATGATGGACGGAAGGACGGAAGGACGGGGGCGACGGCAATATACATTTTGGACCACGGAGCATATGAGCTTTGTTTTATACAAATCGAACAATAAATAATTAATCCAGGACTGAAAAACTGAATTAGCCAATAGGGGCCAAGGAAAAGTACGTTGACAAAAAATGTTGCCATTTTTGGTCAAATCGTATAACTCTTTAACCCTAGGTAAAATATCATATAAAAATATTTATTAATGAAAAAGTTTTTCGTAAAAATTTAAATTTTCAAAATTTGGTGCCTTATATCTCCGAAGATTCGTCCAAAATAAATAATCTAAAGAACTGTAGCTATGTGCCTTGTCTCTGGCTATGTCAAATTGTATCAAATATTACAATCCGACAATTATTGATAACATTACGGCAAAATTTCGAAAAATGACAACTTCGGTGATTTCGGACATTTCGCATTGTCGCAGAACGTTAGAAATAGCTTTGAAATTTAAGTCAAACCCACTTTCCCAGTAAAACCGAAGACATCGAATCGATCCGACAAGTAGTTTCTGAGATATGCTCAAATGGAAAAATAACAAGCCAACAGTGAGGCTGATGTCCCCCGCCAAAATCCCCAAATAAATAGATGACACATATTATTTAATCGCACATCTATTTTTTTCCAAAGTATCAAGCAATCAAACTGATTATCAACTATACACTAAGTTTCACCAATCTATATCAGATAGAATCAAAGTTATCTTGTCCCAAATCAGGAAATTGCTTATCTCTGCTTAGCTTTAGCTCGATATGTTAATCATTGAACTCAGTCAAGACGAACATCTACATCAAGTTTAAACATTTTACCTCAATTAGAAGATGAGTTGTTATGTTCCAAAGTCTTGACCAATCAAAATGCTTGTTGCTCGTAAGCAGAAAATTCTCATCATCGAACTTAGTCAAGGTATTGATGTAATGAAACTATACACCAAGTTTCATCACTCTCACTTAATTAGAACTAAAGTTATCGTGTTCCAAAGCATCAACCAATCAAATTGCTTATCTCTGCTTACCCTAAGCAGAAAATGCTTATCTTCATACTCCATCAAGGCATTGACCTAATAAACACCTACACCAAGTTTGAACATTCTAGCTCAATTAGAAGGAGGGTTATTCTGTTCCAAAGTCTCGGCCAATCAAATTGCTTATCGCTCTGCTTACTCTGAGCAGAAAATGCTCATCATCGAACTTAGTCAAGGTATTGATGTAATGAAACTATACACCAAGTTTCATCACTCTCACTTAATTGGAACTAAAGTTATCGTGTCCCAAAGAATCAACCAATCAAACTGCTTATCTTTGGTTACCCTAAGCAGAAAATGCTTATCTTCACACTCCATCAAGGCATTGACCTAATAAACACCTACACCAAGTTTGAACATTCTAGCTCAATTAGAAGGAGGGTTATTGTGTTCCAAAGTCTCGGCCAATCAAATTGCTTATCGCTCTGCTGATGTAATGAAACTATACACCAAGTTTCATCGAAAGGCGGGGGACAATAATAATAACTAGACCTGCAAGCAGCACTGAACCGGCTTTCAGGAATCGAACAGGAAGTTTGTCATACAATAGCCCATTCATCGAGCTACCAAACGATACTTTAGATGTTTTGATGCCCACACACCTGACGGTGAAATCACGATTTTTGCAAGAGCACCGATTTTTACTGGGTTTTTTTTTAAATATCAAATATTTTTTCGACTACTTCTGGTTTCCGGATCATTGTCGGAATAGATTTAACACGTTGTATGGGAACTTAACCTCCTGTACCAGAAGTTTCAGAAAAATCCATTGGACAGTTTTTAAAAGAAAGGAAAATTAGAAGATATTTAACAATATTTAGCAAATAATTGGTAGTCTGATACTAATGTGTTATCTCCCTTATACCATTAGACCATTAGAAGAAGATATAACAATTTTTCAAAGCT